TATTTTCCTTAGGATTGAACAATCACCTCAGGCATTGGCCAGGTCGGTTACTTGTGAATCCATCGCATAGAGACTGGCGAACCAGTGCCTGGAGCACCAACCCACAGACCAGTGTATGGGTCAACGGGGCCCCATGCGCATTCATGATGGCAGAATCCGCTATGAAGTCGACACAATTAACACGCCTTGCCTACCCATCAACACTCCCCTTTCCCAGCCTTCCTAGCGGCGCGACCACCAGTACCAACAATATAATCTCCAGTAACTGAGCACCTCTCAACTTATCCTGTCCTTATTCTCACCACACATGCGTGTGATGCATCAGCCTGGTCAATCCCTTGCGCATCCATAACACAGAGACCGGTGAACCAGTGCTTGGAGCGCCAACATGCACACGCCATACTTGCCCCAAGTGTCCACACTGTCAGCATATATTCATTCACCTTATGGACCTATTAGGCTACACGCGTCTCCATGAAAACCAGCAGTAAGCTATCACTGGCTATAAAGCATTACTACATTTATACGCACCAGCATCGTCACCACGCACAGTCATGCCTAACAACACACAACAGGTGTTTAGAACCAGAATCTTCCCCGTAAGAGAGAAGTATCATCTTGGCTCCTTTCGGTGGGGTTCCTCCGCTGCATGTGTGATCGGAGACTACGACTCCGACGTTGTAATAGGTACCGTGGCTTGGGAGATTTCCAACGGACAGTTTTACTCAGACCCCGCAGTCAACCTAATGTGCTTCTTTATTGTCCAGTGACTGGCTGGTGTTCTGCGATTCAGGCTTGAGAGGCTCCTCTTAACGTGACCACTGGCACTCTTACACATGCGGGATGTGAGTTGCTTGACCCCTTTTGAATGAAATCCAAGGACCTGTGTTTGGGAGGGAATTTCTTGTACCTGGTACACGCAGACAAGGTCCTTAGATATATCAGCACCTCTGCTTATTCCACGTTCTAGTCCACAGACCATCTCGGACGGTGGTTGGGGCATAGGAATGGGAATAGAGGATGGGTAGATGGCTTAGCCTATTTTCCTTACTTTACAGAATCTGGCGCCTTCGTAGTTATCACGGTGCGCTAAAAGCCGCGGCTTAGGAGGTTGCCAAATGATAAAATAACACGAATCGCGCGGTCAGCTTAGTGGGTGCTTGCATGAAGTTGCTGACTGGCGG